ACTGACCTATGTGTACAGAGGGAAGTAAAACTCACTGGAAATCAAATAGGGGGGTGGGAGGTGGAGGGGCGGGACCACAACCTACCTAACAGGTCTGATGAACACTATTGGAACGACAGGCACACTTGTAGCCATGACTCAAGGATTACAAACGTCATCCATGTAACAAAAATATTTGTACTCCTTTAATACTTTGAAATTTTAAAAAACAGGAAAATGAATCACTGATGAACAGGAGTAATACCAAAGGAATTGCAAAGTACGTAAAAGATTTACTATACAAATATTTTAGAAGGCCTTATTTCCTAAATAATATAAACTATGACAACTATATGAAATTCATCTTGCATTTTTTCTTCAAATCTTTTAATGTTATGACCCTTCATTTGCTACCATTATCCAATTTTTTGTTACCTTATTACAAGAACAAAAGTTTCCCTGAACCATTGTATTGAGCTATCCGACTTGGCTAGGTGGTATCTCACCTCCTCTTAGAATAGGCATGTCTCAGACGAATTTATAGGAAAGCTGTAGGAGGCCTCAGCGTAGAGTGGTGCCAAACCAGTGAATAAAACTATAATACAGGGTGTCCATAAAGTTTGTGTGCAACTTAAAATAGTAAAGTATTTTAGAACAAGGGAAATGATAGCTCTGCTCTCACCTCCTATAGTCAGAGCATATCTAGAAAAACTGTTGTTTACAGCATAAAAATTTAAGACATCTTTACATAAAAAAAAGGGGGGGGGCCTGGCAAGGGGTGGAAAAATCAAGACTTTCAAAAGTACCAACTCTTGAATACCAGGACTTTTTTTTTTTAATTTATTTTTCTTACATATACATGTGTATGTTAAGTTTCCACTTTTGCCTTCGCAGAATTAAAAGGCTAAATTTAATGGCAGTAATAATATTTAGCATAAGGACTGAGAACAAAAACCTTATAAAGAATGAAAGAAGATAAATACATTCAGAAAAGAAGTCAGACGATTGCTGCAACAAAATATTAGGCAATAATAATAGTAATAATGCAAAAATAGTAACATTTCCATTGTCAGATAGAAGTATGTCTATTATAGAATACTTTGATCAGTTAACTTCTTCTTATTTTGTTTTTTCCAAGGTCTCAAAAAAAATAGACAACTAATATTTATAAGTAAAAGTAAAAGATAATTTCAAAAAAACAGATCATGCCAAATCTTATAGACAATAGAGTAAGAAATACTTCAAAATCATTCTACTTAATCTGGATACACCTGATACTAAAATTGGAGAAAATATATTATTATAAAAGGGAAATTACAAACATATTTCTCTTATAAATGAGGATGCAATACGATGAACAACATATTAACATGTTGAATTAAAAATTAATGTTTAAGTAATGTGCTTTGGTCAAAATTAAATACAATTTATATGAGAATTAGTCACTATTTTCTTTTTTTTTCCTTTTTTTGAATACATAATCATTCACTACTTGTTTGTTACAGAATACACAAGACAAAATACAAATAGCACACAAAGTTTTTTTTCCTTCTTATGTTTTTACCAAAGTCTAAAAAAAAGATGACTAATATGTATAAATAAAAGTAAAAAATAATACCAGGGAGTTTTAACATGGAGAAGAGAAGTCTCAAAGCCTCAGATGGCTGTCACCAAGTACCTTTTTCTTTTTTTTTTTTAAGACAGAGTCTCAAGCTTTTGCCCTGGGTAGAGTGCCATGGTGTCACAGCTCACAGTAACCTCAAACTCTTGGACTTAAGCTATTCTCTTGCCTCAGCCTCCCAAGTAGCTGGTACTACCGGAGCCTGCCACAACATCCAGCTATTTTTTGGTTGTAGTTGTCATTGTTGTTTGGCTGGCCTGGATTGGATTCGAACCCACCAGCTCTGATGTATGTGGCTGGCTCCCTAGCCGCAGAGCTTCAGGTACAGAGTGTGTCACTAAATATCTTAAAAGATATGAAAGAGGGTTAGACTTAACCAATAGGTAGAAATTACATTATAGCCTCATATTATCAGGAAAGGCTTTGGGAAAGCCAGAGCTGTTCAAAGGTAGGACCAGCATCTTTAACAAACAGTGATTTTCCCACCCCTAGGAGTATAAAAGCGTAGGTGAGCAAGTTATTCTATATGATGACTTCAAATTTTGCTATCAAATTTGTGGTTATTCTCACTCATAATTTAAATATCTTCCAGGTCTCTAGACGCTGAAGCTCCAATCCTAAATCTACAAAATTTGGATGACTTCTATAGAACTAAGTTCAGGAATTATTTTGCCACATACTCTCGTATGTTGCCATTATTTTAGCACATAGTGGTGCCTTTGGTTTGAAGGAGTAGAGTGCCAGCCCCGTATGTCAGAGGTGGCAGGTTCAAATCCAGAGCCGGCCAAAAAAAAAAAAAAAAAAAAACTGCACAAAAAGTTTGCAGGAAGAGGAAAATTGGGCAGTTGTCTAAATGTAGTGGGGAGTTATATGAAAGGAATGGTTGATCATGAAGGCCACATCAGACAACTGTCATAGGAAATAAATATAAGAGTGTGTGTGTGTATGAGAGAGAGAGAGAGAGATTTACTTTAAGGAAATACCTAGCATGCTTATGGAGGCTGGCAAGCTAGAGACCTGTGAACAGCTGGTGTTGTAGTTCAAGAATGAAGGCCATCACGAACAGAATTCTGTCTTCCTGGGGGAAAGCCAGTCTTTGTTCTGTTAGGGTCTTCAATTGATTGAAGCCCACTCATATTAGTAGGACAATTGGCTTTACTCAAAATCCAACAATTTAAATGTTAATCTTGTCCCCAAAACACCCTCACAGAAACATCCATGATGTTTTATCAAAGATCTGAGCCCCGTGACCCAACCAAATTGACACATAGAATTAACCGTCAAAAAGGGATAGCTCCTCAAATTTGACAAGTCCTTTGACATATGGGGATGCCATTTCTAAGGGACAGAGTTGGCTAACAAAAGATGCTGACACCTTCCCATATTGCCTCTCTGCTTTCTGAAAGGCCATCTTCAAACCCAGATCCTTTAACTCTAAGCTAAGTAGATGAATCTTTTAAACCGAATGACACTGGATGAGTGTGGCAACTGGGATATGATCCACTCAGCCATCTATTCCACATATTTTATACACACAACTGCATTGTTGCCGGTAGGCTACATTTTAATTAGAAGAAGACATGGTAATGTTGTTCTTCTAAGGCACCTCAGAATTTAAAGAAAAGCACTCAAAGAAAAATAACTTAAAAACTCATGCTTTTTTTTTTTTGTAGTTGATATTTTATTGGTTGTGTTAAGCATCAGTACAGACATTTCAATTTGTACACAATTCTTAACATATATACCCCAAATCTAAAAAGCCATTTATTGTAATTCTGGTTTATTTATTGTTTGAGACAGAGCCTCACTATGTCACCCTCAGTAGAGTGCAGTGGCATCACAGATCACAGCAACCTCCAACTCTTGGGCTTCAGAGATTCTCTTGCCTCAGCCTCCCAAATAGGTGGATCTACAGGCACCTGCCACAACACCTGGCTATTTTTTGGTTGCAGTTGTCATTGCTATTTGACAGGCCCCAGCTGGATTCAAACCCACTGGGTCTGGTGTATGTGGCTGGCGCTCTAACTGCAGAGCCACAGGTGCGGAGCCTGTAATTTTTTTTTTTAACAGTTATTCCAGTGACTTTCCAGATTAAAATTTGGAGGCAAATTTTCCTTAAGAGGATATTAAGTACCAGTATCTTCAAATGTTGATAAGCTTTTACATAAGTCCCACCAATTCACAATTGATTACCTACCATATACGCTACATATGCAAATTTTCGGTCCTTCATATCACAGTAACACAGTTAATTAGGAAAACAAGACTAGTATGTAGTCTTGTAACTACAGATGTTACAAAACGACACGATTCTGACAGGGAGAGCCATGATTGGGGGAGTGGTTTTCTTTAGGAAAGTCTACTAACAAACAACGTGGGGATAGAAGTAATTTAAAGTGTTCAAAACATTAAATGCAAGGCTGGGACTCCATATCTCCGTTTAGTATGCTTTGTTTTACAGGATCTAAAAGCCAACTGCCATCTATGGAATGTTAGGCTCACACCCGTGGCACTCCAAGCCTCCCGGAATTCAGCATGCCGCACTGTTTTGTGGTTGTACCAAAAAGTAAACAACCAGCCAATGCTTTCACCTCTTGAAAAAAGAATTTACACTTAAAAAATGGGATGAGGTGGGATTTCCTCCTTCTTAAGAATGTTTCTAGAGCTACCAAAACAACTTGCATTTGCAAAATAGTTGATAAAAATATTCCTCTGGGTTGTACAAGAAGGGAGCCAGGGAGCACAGATAGACACGGGGTGTGATACAGTCAGACGCGGCTTCTTTCTCTCCTGTTTGTCAGCGGCTGGACTCTGCTCAGTTTTAGTTTTTCCAGTTTCTGCAGGTAAATCTTCAGTGTCTTGGTTAGCCACGTGGGTCTTCTTTCCCTTTGCTCCCCTTTTCCCTTTTGGTCGCCCTTTTTTGTCTGAAGATGTAGCCTTCGCTGCGGCCTTTTCTGGTTTCCACTTTTGGAGGAGCAGGTTTAGGTGACAACCGCGCGATCTCCCTCTAAGCTCTCCCTTCCCCGAGCCTTGGGCAGCGCTGACCGTCGTCTTCCGCCTCTGGGCGGCGGCGCCCCCGGAGCCTTCGGGACTCCGAAGCTGCGCTTCCCCGGCGGCTACCACTCCTCGCACCGCCTGAGCTGCTTAGCCTGGTGGTGGGTAGCAACATTCATGCTTCTAAAAAAAGAAGCTTTAAAAAAGGCTTTGCACCATAGGGGAAAAGCTAGCCAGCTCAGTGGAATTATTTTGTTATCTTCAATTCAGTCCCCCTCCCCAAAAAAAGACTCAATGAAATGAATGGAATGCATTTTTATTTTTAATCGTTAACTGTTACTATAAGATCCTTACCAATTCAATAGAAAAAGTGTGAGATAAAGAAAAAAAATGTAAGAATGGGAGAGATATCAACAATATATCCCGCTATGCAAACTAAGACTTAAAAGTTTTTTACTGAACAAAACAGAGCTTTCGTCGCGCTTAGTAAGTAATTTCTTTGTGATCTTGAAGCAGAGACTGTGCTGGGCACTTTTATGTACATTATTTCAGTTGAGAAAGAAAGTCACCACAGCAATTTCATCGTGAATGTTTCACCGTGTGTGTTTCATTTTTAACTGGAATTGGGTGTGTTATTAGAAAGCTAAATTCTTTTAACAGTTTGCACTTCTGACATCTGTTCGTCTGACACATCAGGGAGACAAATATTAAATAGCAATTGTAAATAGCAAGTCATCTTTTCAAACCAAGCCAATCTCAGTTTAAAATGTATTAAAGGTACGTAAAGCAATAGTCCACTGAAAATAAAGAGAAACGCGTACATATAATGCATACTTGGAGACGTCACCAGAGGTATCACAACCATGCACAGGTACATGCCCAACATCACCAAGGGAAATAGCACAGGCACCTGGAAAGAGCAAAAGTTCAAAAAATTAGATAGGAAAACCCATATTAATACCTGCATATTTACATAAATCAAAATTAAAAGACACAAGCTAATGATAGAAAATAGACAAAATTAGCTATCAAGTTAGCTAAAGCTGGCTTAGAACTCAGATAAATGCCTGATTAAAGGAGATGTTGAAAAGATTGTCATTGTCAGGTTGGGGGGATGAGCAGCAACCTCAAATTCTTGGGCTCCAGAGATCCTCCTGCCTCAGCCTCCCAAGTAGCTGGGACTACAGGCACCAGCCACCACACCCAGCTCTTGCTCATGCTGGTCTCCTGAGCTCAAGCAATCCCCCAAGAGTACTAAGATTACCGGCATTGACTGTTCTTGAATAGAACAGCAGTGCCCATTTGCTGATAAGACAACCATCTAGCAGTAAGAAATTCATGACAAAAACACAAAGACTATCCTAAGACCCTCTCTAACTCAGAGAAATATTGACAGGTAGGCACTATGCCTTAGCATATTAAAAAACAAATCAAGACAAAAACTTCAGCCAAAATGATTTTCTTCCTTTCTGTTTTGTTTTTATTTTGCCAAAAACCTTAAAGACCCAGCCTTGGTACTTGATTTGTGTTAGGATTGAAAGGGTACTATACTACATTACCCAACCTGGGGAGAAAATTTTGTAGGCAGTCACTTTTTTTTTTGCAGATTTGGCTAGGGCGGGGTTTGAACTCACCACCTCTGGGATATGGGATTGGCACCCTACTCTTTTGAACCACAGGTGCCACCCAGCAGTCACTTTTGAGAAATCCCTTTTTTCTTTTCTTTTTTTTGAGACAGAGTCTCACTTTGTTACCCTTGGTAGAGTGCTATCACATCATAGCTCAAAGCAAATAGCAATGAATGGACATATTACATGATCAGTAAGTGAAACTATGGGAGCAGGTCTTGGAAAGAAAGCTCTAAAGAAGGGAACCAGGCTGTCAACTCTGCTCTAGATTAGATCCCCCTCCCCATGTGTTCTCTGGGCATCCTCTGGAGGCTACTATATAGCACCCATCATACCATGCTTTTTGGTTTACCAGATAGATTATAAATTAACTAGGGCAGAAGCTACGTCTTTCTGTATCCAGAGCACTTAGTAAGGTGCTTAAAATATAGTTGCTTCTCAATAACTAATACTCAACTACACAACAGTTAAGGAATAGCTGGATGAAAGAAGTAAAAGGGAAGACTGAAAAGAAGGATGGTTGTAAGTCAACTAAAGTTGGTGATGAGAACATTGCTGTCTTTTTCCCTGAGTTCCTTCTTATATTTTGTGCTTAGTGAGAGACAAACCCTCCAAAGTGAGTGTCTAGATTTCAGGCTTGGTTCTACTCTATGCTGTGTGAGCTTGGGCAAGTGAGACAGTCTCTTGCCCTTGGTAAAGTGCTATGGTATCATAGCTCACAGCAACCTCAAACTCTTGGGCTCAAGCAATTCTCTTGCCTCAGCCTCCCAAGTAACTGAGACTACAGTCACCTGCCACGACACTGGGCTAGTTTGTTTTTTAGTGGGTTTTCTTTTTTTTTAAGAGATGGTATCTTGCTCTTGCTCAGGCTGATCTTGAACTCTTGAGCTCAAGCAATCCACCTGCCTCAGCCTCACAGAATGAATATATTCTTAAGTATGGTTACACTCAATATCTTATCTTTCACACAGAAAAATATTTTAAAACCCACTTTTTACCTTATAAGGTGAAGTTAGATCAGGTTCCTGCAATCTCCGTCTTAGAATTCCTATGGCTGTTAACACAGACCAAAAAGAGCTCATAAAATAAAGATAGTTTATCAAATCAATGAGGTTTGTTATGACAATTGTAAGGGATCCCATAATGACAAGTAGCAGCACAGATATAAGTGGAGAGGAATAAGTATTAAGTGTATTAAATAGCAAAGGCAGGTGGCCCTGTTGGCCAGCAAGATATACCACTCTTGAGCAATCAAATACATTAATCATAAGATTGCTGAATAATGAAGCAGAAATAGCGAAAGGAATAAACCATGTCAATGAGGGCAACATTCGATCTGTCCACGTGACAGCCACAGCATCTACAGAAAGACAAAAAGACACAAAAGAAACTGGGTTAAAAGAGAGATACTGGTGATAAACCTTTTCATATTATTTCAAAATGAAAGCAGAACATTTTCAAAGTAATTAAGAACTTAATTTTGGTTGTTAATTTTGTTGTTTATTTCTTTCTTCACCCTCACATAACACCTAAGGCACTTGTCCATGTTAGCCCTGTTACCCGGTATCACAAATGGTCATTATTTCATGTCTTCTTCAGTTGACCATGAACTGTTTAAGGGCAAGGAATATTTGTTTCTTTTCTTTTTTTTTTTTTAAACTAGTCAAGTGCAGTAGTAAGAAGAGGGAAAGAGTAGGATGGGAATTCAATCTGTAACTGCCTGTGAACAATCAAGTGAGAGAACTCACTAACTCTGGACCAGAGGGAACGTTTGTTTCTTTTCTGTAAAATAAGATTTCACTCAGTGACAGACATACAGTGAATTTTTAATAAATACTTGTGAAGTGAATTGATTTGTTGAATGCATGATGAAATGCATCTTTATTCTCTATAACTCGCTTGCAGAGTATTGATGGTTGCACTGAGGGTCAAAAAAGCACAGCGTGACACGGCTGCCACAGGAATGAGCCTTACCCATGTCACGGTGCAATTTGAAATACTTAATAGAAAAAAGGACCAAGAAAATAAATCATACACAGGTAAAAATATTTATGACATTTGGAGCTTGTCTATGGACTGACAACTCTTAACTAGAAATAATTTTGCTTCTCAGGGTCATTTGGCCATGTCTGGAAATTTTTTTGATGTCACAGATGGGGAGGCAGGAGATTATGCTACTGGCATGAGACCAGGATATCGCTAAACATCATATAATGCACAGGATAGCCCTCTACAACAAAGAATTCTATGGTATAAAATATTAATATTGCTAAGATTGAGAAACTTGCCAAGGACCAACCTTTAGAGAATATTCCACTTCTTATGCTTAAAGGTGAAGAGACCTTATGAACACTAATTTCATAAAAGTTAATAGTTATAAAAGGCATCATAAAAGGAAAGCACCCATTGTTCATGAGAATGTGCTTGAGTCCAATTCCTACTACGTAGACGTATGCTAAGACAGATCACTCAGTCACAGAGGAATGAGTTCTCAGTTTTTCAATGGAATGAGCACAGCAGGGCCTAGTGTCCCCAGGGGTGCTCTTGTGCAGGTTGGTTTTGACATCAACATACTGGCTTATAGCACAAATTGTAAGACTTTCTATTTTATATTAACTCGGATGGAGTTGAAACACATTCTTCTTAGTAAAGCATCACAAGAATGGAGAAGCAAGAATCCAATGTAGTCAATTCTTATATGAGGACAAGTGATGCTAGTACCTGGCAGGAATGGGGGAAAGGGAGAGTGGAGAGAGGGAAGGAGGAAGGAGGGCAGGGGGAGTCGTGATGTGTGCCACACCTCTTGGGGTGGAACACAATTATAAGAGGGACTTTACCTAACAAATGCAAGTAGTATAACCTGATTCTTTGTACCCTGAATGAATCCCCAACAAAAATTAAAAAGAAAAGACTTTCTAAATGCAACAAAATTGAGAAATGAACAGAACCCTCTCCAAAGAAGACAGATGAATGGCCAAGAAACACATGAAAAAATGATCATTGTCCCTAATTATCAGAGAAACGCAAGTAGAAACCACCTTGAGTTAACTATCCCCTGCCCCAGTGAGAATAGCCCACATCACAAAGTCTCAAAGCTGCAGATGTTGGTGATCACGTGGAGAAAAGGGAACACTTTTCCACTGTTGGTGGGATTGCAAACTAATACAGCCTCTTTGGAAAGAAATATGTAGAATCCTTAAGGAACTAAAAGTAGATCTCCCATTTGATCCTGAAATCCCATTACTAAGCATCTGCCCAGAAGAAAAAAAAATATCATTTTATCATAAAGACATTTACATTAGAATGTTTATTGCCCCTCAATTCACACTCACTAAGATGTGGAACCAACCCAAGTGCCCATCAACATATGAATAGATTAATAAGCTGTGGTATTTGCATACCATGGAATATTAGTTAGCCAGGAGAAATGGAGACTTTATATCTTTTATATTAACCTGGATAGAGTTGAATAACATTGTACTTAGTTAAGTATCACAAGAATGTAAAAGCAAGTATCCAATGCACTGAATTCTTCTTCCTTTTTTTTTTTTTGAGATAGAGTCTCACTTTGTTGCCCTCAGTAGAGTGCCCTGATTTCCTAGCTCATAACAGTGTAGCAGCCTGTATAGCCTATAGCTAAGAGGAGTGAGAGTTATAAGAAATACCTGTAATGGAACACCTTGGTGAAAAGGCCATGGAGAGAGATTTAGTTCTAACTAGCATGAGAGAGCTCGAGAGATGAGAGCATTGGTGAATTGGCAGTCTCCACACCTGTGGTGTTGAGAAGCACGAGCTCAGCCTTATATTAGGCTGGAGGAGCAGGCAGTCAAGAGGCATGCGCATTCTATCACGGGTCCGCTTAACTCTGACTCTGTCTCCTCTCCTGCCTGCAGAACGCCAGCACAGCGTCTCTGCTGAAGATTACCAAGCTCTGCTAAAGACTAAGAGCTGTCTGTTCTAAGAAGACCTTTACTCTCTCTAAGATACTCTGTCTCTCTCTCTCCAGCTAAAGTAGATAGCCCTCAAGCACCTAAGAGAAACTGTTCCTGAGCAAGGGAGCTTAGTGGTCCACGTCCAGGACCTACCTAAGCTGGGCCTGAGACCTGGCCAGTCCTGGGCCCTGAAGTGGTGTCAGAAGCAGGACAGTGAACGCCACTGACAAATGGTGCTTTGAGCAGGATTCAGTGAATGTGGACCGAGAGGGAAATAAACTTTAGCAAAATAAGAAAAAAAGAGAAATAGAAATGCTTAGAGGGAAAAGAAATATCTAAGAAAGACAGCCAACAGCAGGCCTTTCTCATTCGGTTTTTCCTCTTCTTTCCTGCGTTTTCTCTTTCCAAATTCTAATACTGTGGGGGGAAAAGCTGGTAAAATCCTTTAGCCTCTTCTGTGAAGTGGCTGGAGAAAAAAAAGCAGAAAAAAGCCTCTAAACGAGAGGGAAAGAGAAAGGCTAGACCTAGGAGATAAGTATCTTTAGTAAACAAGCCTTCAGCCTCAGGGGTGAGAAAAGCCTTTGGTAAAACCGCAAAGAGAAAAGTTTGGGACTAGGTTGCAAGAGTTTATTAAGTTAGGGAAGAGAACTTCTAACTGCCTTCCCCTAATACCTTCGCCCAATGCCAGCAGGAAGTAGCTTTTGAGAGACCGACGACCCGATTCCCTTTTTGGCAGTTAAGAGTTCTGTTTAAAAAGAAAAGAATTGAGGTAGATTGAGGCTGGTGAAGAAACAGTGGAAGTAAAGTTTTGTAAAACAAGACTCCAGAGTAAAAAGAAACAGCTAAAGAGCTCCTGTCTCTTTAAGGCAGCCAAAGGTTCTAAGAATTGAAAGGGAAAGACTGTAAAAAGTAAAAAGCCAAAAGAAAACCAGAGAAAAATCATGGCAAATGAGATACAGCAGTTGAAATACAGTTGAGACATCAGATGAATCTTATAGTAGAAGCAGGTAAATGCTATATTGACATGACAACTCACATTGGGCAGCTGGAAGATCAGAGGGTAAATCCCCTAGTTAACATCAAATGCCATAAATGTGGGAAGCTAGGCCATAAGAGAAAAGAGTTTAAAAGGGAAAAGAACGTTGAATGCTAAAAAAAAGAACAAAGAGCATGTAAACCTCCAGGTGTATGTCCCAAGTGTAAAAAAGGCTTTCATTGGGCTAAACAAATGCCATTATCAACTTGATAGAAGATGGAACACCTTTATTGTAGGGAAATTATCAGTTGGGCCAGAATCAGGACCCACTGGTAAATCAAAGAAAAAACAGTTTAATGTTTTCATTTCAAACCATTCTCAGAAAAAACAGTATAATTCAATTCTATGCCGTGGGAGCACTCTGCCAGCTTGGTTAGACCTGTGGTGCCTTAGTGTAAAACGGGAAATTAAACCAGACCAATGGATGACAATGGAGAATAATTAGATTAAATATGTTTGTGGAATATTAGGTTATCCTGCGTGGTGAAGGGGTAACCGACCTCTCATCAGTGTCTGTGCACTACAACCGGGTCCAGCTAAGGAGACTGGACACAGCCCACAGGGGAAGTGTCACTCGGAAGCAAGTGAAGCCTTTGGAAGATTATGAGAGGTGAGAACAAAGGGAGGGAAGAGTATAAGTTAAACCACCTCCATGCTAGGGAACTCCATTTGAAAAAAAGTCTGGAATCAATTAGCAAAAATTTCACTGGAAGAGCAGCTTGAAAGCAGGACAAACTCTGCTATCAAGGAATTGTGAAGGGTGGTACTTTCTGGACCACGAGTAACAGTTCCATGAGAGGAACTGCCAAGTGTGGAACCATTAATCCACGAGTAACAGTCTTTTGCAATCTGTGAAGGGTGGATTTCAGTACCTCGAGTAGCAAAACCTTTGGAATAGCAAGAGAAAAATCCTCTGCTTGCAAAGATTGCAAGGAAAGCGTTATTTTTTGTTCATCCGTTAAGTAAATATCAAAGGAAAGTTCCTACAGTTAAAGAAATGATAAATTCTATCAGGAAAGATTTCAGTTTTCTCCATTTAAAAAGACCTTTAAGGGAATTAACATCACAATCATTTTCTTCTAGCAGCGGCTAATAGTTTACATCTGTATTGGGCTTCCTCACTTAAAAAGCCCATACCTGGAATTCTGAACTCTGACAATTACCATCTTTTGCCTAGAAAGAAAAGGGCTAGATAACAGGAAGAACTGCCCTTATCACATTAAAAGTTATTTTGTTTGTATATAAAAAAGGGGGGAAATGTAGCAGCCCGTATAGCCTATGGCTAGGAGGAGTGAGAGTTATAGGAAATACCTGTAGTGGAACACCTTGGTGAACAGGACATGGAGAGAGATTTGGTTCTAACAACCATGAGTGAGCTCGCGAGATGAGAGCATTGGTGAATTGGCAGTCTCTACACCTGTGGTGTTGAGAAGCACGAGCTCAGCCTTATATTAGGCTGGAGGAGCAGGCAGTCAAGAGGCATGGGCATTCTATCACGGATCCACTTACTCTGACTCTGTCTCCTCTCCTGCCTGTAGGATACCAGCACAGTCTCTCTGCTGAAGATTACCAAGCTCTGCTAAAGACTAAGAGCTATCTGTTCTAAGAAGACCTTTACTCTCTCTAAGATACTCTGTCTCTCTCTCCAGCTAAAGTAGATAGCCCTCAAGCACCTAAGAGAAACTGTTCCTGAGCAAGGGAGCTTAGTGGTCCACATCCAGGACCTACCTAAGCTGGGCCTGAGACCTGGCCTGTCCTGGGCCCTGACATAACAGTGTCCAAATTTTGGGCTCAAGTGATCCTCCTGCCTCAGTCTCCCAGGTAGCTGGAACTACAGGCTCCTGCCACAATGCCCGGCTAGTTTTTAGAGACAGTGTCTCACTGCTAATGTACTCAATTTTAATATGAAACCAGTAGACAAATAAATACATGCCCATACAAAAGAAAAACACAATTAAACTTAAGTGGTGGGGAAAGGGAGCCCGGGAAGAAAGGGAGAGAATTGGTGTGCTCTCAACTAACAGGCACAATGTAAGAGTGTATGGCACACACTACAGCACTCTACCAAGGGTGACAAAGGGAGACTCTGTCTCAAAAGAGACTTGACATCTTTTTTATTAACCTGGATTGAGTTGGAACACATCCTTCTTAGCAAAGTATCACAAGAATAGAGAAGCAAGAATCCAGGATACTCAATTCTAATATGAAGGTAGTGGATGATCTAATCCATACTCTCATAAGAGAAAACTCAAATCAGTTCAAGGCAGGGATCAGGGGAGGAGGGAGTGGGGAGAGGGGAGGAGGAAGGGGGATGAAGATTACGGTGTTTGGCACATCTCTTGGGGGCAGGACACAATTATACGAGGAACTTTACCTAACAAATGCAATCAGTGTGACCTAATTCTTTGTACCTTTAATGAAGGCCAAAGAATAAAAAAAAAATTATGTGATTAATACCACTGTTTTTTTCCCCATAAACATTACGATCTAATACTTATCACAGTTTTGTGTAATATTTCTCAGTGGTCCTGAAATAACATGCAGCCTCCCATTCATACCACATCACAGATACCTTATATTTTATTGGAATCCTTTCATGTCTTTTAGATACACTTGTTTGATTAAAAGAATACACCCCTTAATCCTTAAAATTTTTTGTTTGTTTCTTTTTCCTGAGAGAGAATCTCACTCTGTCAACCTGGACAGAGTGCTTTGGCGTCATAGCTCACAGCAACCTCAAACTCTTGGGCTCAAGTGATACTCTTGCCTCAGCCTTCCCAGTAGCAGGGATAAGTGTCCACCATGATGCCCAGGTAATTTTTCTATTTTTCGTGAAGACAGGCTCTGGCTCTTGCTCTCAGGCTGGTCTCAAACTCCTGAGCTCAGGAGATCCACCTGCCTCGACCTCCCAGAATGTAGGATTACAGTCATGAACTACCACGTCCAACTCTTAAAATTTCTTAATTTAAGAACTTATTTCTTTTGCTCATAACTTTTTTCTCTTACCATAATATATAAATTATGCACTTTATTAAAGTTTGGAAAATTCAGCACAAAGACATAAAGCAGTAAACACCCACAATATCATCTCGGCTGATCACCCCTGTTCAGTATTTACTTTCTGGTTCATATCATAACATACATACTACCTCTTCCCTCATTATTATATACTAAACATTGTTCCTTTACTTCAAACACCAATCAACAATATCATCTTTTGAGAGGCTCACCATGGTCTGTTACATGGATTTCTATAAATTATCTATTTCAACCTTATTGGATATTTTGGCGATCTTTAGTTTTTGCTATCCACAATGCTATGGTGCTTGTTCCTATGCATACGTTTTTGAAAGTAGGATGTGCTGTTGTTTTTTTAATTTTAGTTTTTTTTAAAGAGATGGGATCTCTCTGTGTTGCCCATGCTGGCATGCAGTGGCACAATCACAGATCACTGTAGCCTCAAACTACTGGGTTTAAGTGATCCTCCCGCCTCAGCCTCCCAAAGTGTTGGGATTACAAGCATGAGGCATTATGCCTGACCTACATTTTTCTGAACAGCTCTGATTATTTCTTAATTTAAATTGTATTTTATTGCACTAATACAATAAAAGTGAAGATTTTGGGGGGGGTTATTGTTGTTTATTTGAGACAGAGTCTCACTTTGTCACCCTTGATAGAGTGCTCTGGCATCATAGTTCACAACATTCTCAGACTCCTGGGCTTAAGTGATTCTCTTGCCTCAGCCTCCACAACGCCCAGCTATTTTTAGAGATGCAGTTTCACTCTTGCTCAGGCTGGTCTCGAACCCATGAGCTCAGGCAATTCACTTGCCTTGGCCTCCTAGAGTGCTGGAATTACAGACATGAGCCACTACACCTGGCCTACACACTCTTTTTTTTGAGACAGTCTCACTTTGTCGCCCTTGGTAGACTGCCGTAGTATCATAACTCAAGCAACCTCAAACTCTTGGGCTTAAGTGATTTTCTTGCTTCAGCCTCCCAAGTAGCTGGGACTACAGACATCCGCCACAACACAGGGCTATTTTTAGAGATGAGGTCTCATTCTGGCTCAGGCTGGTCTCCAACCCCTGAGCTCAGGCAATCCACCCACCTCGGCCGCCCAAAGTGCTGGGATTAGAGGTGTGGGCCACCATGCCCAGCCCAAAATGCAGATGTTTTAATTCAAAACATTAATTTCAACTTTAAAGAAAAATCTGAAGACTATCTATGCCTGAAAGAGTCTGCACTATAAGCCAAATTACAAGTGATCATGGTCATGAGCATTCCACACTGGCCAAAACTTTCATGCTGCCCACAAAATTGTTGAAACCATAAAGATACACCAGAGGAGACGTTCATAATTTTTTAACAACCTGCATGGCCAGGCACTGGCCGTGATAACAGATGCCAGCTTCAGTGAAATGTTAACAGCAGAACGAGCTCACCAGTGGCCCTGACCACACCTGTAATTAATTTTGTAAATATTTCCTTTACATAATCAAGGTAGTTAATCAGTCACTGCTTGTTCTTACTTGGCTCGCATTTGTTTTGTTCATGAACACTCAGAATCTTGACGAAATCTAGTTCACAGGCCCCTGAGGTACCCAGACCCGTATTAATCCACACTGCGTGTGGCAGCATCCTGCATGGCAGGAAGTTAAGAATTGAGGCAGAGTTTATCAGAATCTTCATATTAAAACCTCCCTTAGCGTTCCCTACAGTGCCTCTGAGATCCACTCAAACAATAATACCTGCTCGGAAGAGATTAGTTCTAAAGGTACAGAGTGATGGGTTTATCTCAGCAGGTGGTTTAATGCTGATTTGAGAAAATTATTCATCTTTCACCTTTCCTGTTACTCATTTCCCTTCAAGCTTCCTTTTATTCCTTGAGTCTTTTTAAAATGTATATTTCTGTAAGATTTTCCTATGCCTTTATGCTATAATTTGGTCTCTAAGATAGTTGCTTTTTAAGTCAAATTTTCAATACATTTAGGGCTCAGGTTATTCATGGTAAATGACTATATTATATTATAGATTAATTTTACTATTGATCACATGCACCAATTGAACATTAACATCTACTTTGTTAACTACTAATATCCTACATTTCAAAGGTACCACTCTTGATGTCACGTACAAGACAATTTGGGAATCAAATGTTTTGAAAATTTCGGTAGACATAAGCATTGATGACAGAGCGTTTCTCTGGTGAGACAAGATTCTGAAAGGAAGTCTAATATTTTGAATCTGGTCTTCAACATACACCAGAATTATCTATACGCCTTCCCATATTTTCAGAAAAGTGTAACCATGCTTAAATATGAATCTCCTTTCTAAGCCAAAACATATTCTCTGGCCCTCTGTTACTTTAGAAAATCAGAACTTGACTCTTTATATAGAATAATGAACAGCAGACAGCAGTCCCAACTGGTAAAGTTACACTTAAGATAAGCTGAAAAGACCAGCACTTGACTTACTGCCTTAGCCAGGTATGTACAAACCTGAAGAGAGAATTTCCCTGGGTGTCAGGACAGCCAGGTAGGAAATGTTTACCAGGAGATAAAGTACAGTCAGCAGAGGGATCGCAGTAAATATGATGGCGGGGATCGTCTTTCTGGGCTTCTTCAGCTCCCCTACAACATAAAAGAACAGAATGGTAATTGGTAAAGGTATTTTTTAAATTTACCTTTTAAATCGCTCCATGTGTCAAGTATTGGGTTGGGTTCTTTACCACCATCACCTCATGTGCATACACATACACACATATCCACAGCACCCACATTAGTGGACTGATACACACTACCTGCCCCCAATTTTCTGCTAAATGAAGGAAAAGGGGAAATCTTCTTCATGATTTTATAGGTAGAGAAAGTTCTGAAGAAAGACATAAGAATGAAAAATGAACCCTGAGCCCATAGGGCCTGTACCATGTGTGTCTGTCTCCAGATACCAGGCACCAAGTCTGAATGGGAATATAGCGGTGGGCAAAAAGTCCACAAAGTTTAACCTCGAAGAGGAGCTGCTCGTTAGTGACACAGTCACATGGATTTAAAATAATGACTATAGGAAGCGTTCAGATGAAAACAAGATGCAGGCTCGGCACCTATAGCTCAACCGGCTAAGGCGCCAGCCACGTACACCTAAGGTGGCGGGTTCGAATCCCCAGCCCAGAC